AGTTCCAGTTTGGGAAGATGAAAAAGTTCTGAAGCTGGATGGTGGTGATGGTCACACAACAATGTGAGTGCACATGTCACTGAATAGTACACTTAAAATGGCCAATTTTAGCTTATGAATATTTTATCACAAGAAAAAAGTGAACAGGGGATTATTATTTTTAATTAACGGAGCTTCTCAAAGGCCATATATGACAAACCCACAGCCAGCATCATACTTAATGGTGAAAAACTGAAAGCCATTCCTCTGAGAACAGGAACAAGACAAGAGTGCTCACTCTCATCACTCTTACTCAACATAGTACTGGCAGTTTTGGAAAGAGCAATTAGGCAAGAAAAAGAAATAAGAGGGATTCACATTAGAAAAGAAGAAGTAAAACTCTGACTCTTTGCAGATTATATGATTTCATATATATAGAAAACCCTAAAGAATCTACCAGAAAAATATTAGAAATCATCAACAACTACAGCAAAGTCGCAGGGTACAAAATCAACTTATAAAAATCAGCTGCATTTCTAGACACGGATAATGAACTACTAGAAAGAGAAGACAAGAATAAAATCCCATTTAGAATCACAATGAAAAGAATAAAATATCCAGGAATAAATTTAACCAAGGAGGTGAAAGACATGTATACTGAAAACTATAAGACAGTATTGAAAAATCGAAGATGACATAAAGAAATGGAAAGAGATTCCCTGCTCATGGACTGGAAGAATAAACATAGTTAAAATGTCCACATTACCTAAAGCAATCTACAGATTCAATGCAATCCCAATCAGAACCCCAATCACATTCTTTACAAAAAGAGAACAAAGAACCCTAAAATTTATATCAAACAACAAAAGAATCCGAATAGCCAAAGCATCCTGACAAAAACAAAGAACAAAGGTGGGAGTATCATAATCCCTGATGTTAAAATATACTACAAAACACTAGTAACCAGAACAGCATGGTGCTGACAGCAAAACAGATACACAGATCAAGGGAACAGAATTGAAAGCCCAGAAATAAACCAACACATCTATGGACAGCTGATTTTTGACAAAGGAGCCAAGAACATACAATGGAGAAAGGAAAGCCTCTTCAATAAATGGCGTTGGGAAAACTGGACAGCCACGTGCAAAAGAATGAAGGTAGACATTATCTTCCACCATTCACAAAAATTTACTCAAAATGGATTAAAGACTTGAATGTAAGACGTGAAATCATAAAATTCCTACAAGAAAATATAGGCAGTACTCTCTGACATCAGTCTTAGCAGTACCTTTTCAAATCTCATGTCTCCTCAGACAAGGGAAACAAAAGAAAAAATAAACAAATGGGACTACAAAAGATTAAAAAGCTTCTGCCAGGCAAAAACCATGAAGAAAATGAAAAGACAACCCACCAACTGGGAGAAAATATTTGCAAATCATGTATCCAACAAGGGGTTAATTTCCAAACTACATAAAGAATTCATACAACTCAACAACAACAAAACAACCTGATCAAAAAATGGGCAGAGGACAAGAACAAATGCTTTTCCAAAGAGGATATACAGATGGACAAGAGGCACTTGAAAAGATGTTCGACATCACTATTAGGGAAGTGCAAATCAAAACTACAATGATAAAACAGCTTATATCCAACAGAATGGCTATGATTAACAAGACAAGAAATAACAAATGTTGGAGAGGATGTGGAGAAAAGACAACCCTCATCCACTGCTGGTCTGGATGCAAACTGACGCAGCCACTATGGAAAACAGTATGGAGATTTCTCAAAAAATTAAAAATAGAAATACTATATGATCCATCTATCCCACTAACTAGTATTTACCCAAAGAACATGAAATCAACAATTCAAAGAGATTTATACATCCCTATGTTCACTGCAGCATTATTCAGCATAGCCAAGACTTGGAAGTAACCCAAGTGTCCATCAAGGATGAATGGATAAAGATATAAGATATCATATATATATATATATATATATATATATAATGAACTACTACTCAGCTACAAAAAAGACAAAAATTGTGCTATTTGCAACAACGTGGGTGGGCCTTGAGAATATTACGCTAAGCATAATACGCCAGACAAAGACAAACACTGTATGATTTCACTCATATGTGTAAGATAAACACATGTGTAAGGAGAACACATTGGTGGTTACCAGAGAAGAAATGGGTGGGCTGAGGGCTAAAGGGGCACATATGTATGGTGACAGATAAAGAACAGACAATTGGCGGTGAACATGATACAGTCTATACAGGAACTGATATATAATAATGTACTCCTGAAATTTACACAATGTTATAAACCAATATGACTTCAATAAAATAATTTTTTTTTTAAAGATTTTATTTTTTTCCTTTTTCTCCCCAAAGCCCCCCGGTACATAGTTGTATATTCTTCGTTGTGGGTCCTTCTAGTTGTGGCATGTGGGACGCTGCCTCAGCGTGGTTTGATGAGCAGTGCCATGTCCGCGCCCGGGATTCGAACCAACGAAACACTGGGCCGCCTGCAGCGGAGCGCGCGAACTTAACCACCCGGCCACAGGGCCAGCCCCCAATAAAATAATTTTTAAAAATATTTATACATCAGACTATGTGTTGTAGAGGCTGTTCAAATTTTCCTAGATTTCAGATTTATCAAAAGACGAATGTGGAAACAAGTACGCCTAGTCCAAACACCCCGTGCCTGGTCCATTCAATTATGCTGGAACTAGTGCAATTTAGTCTCCATCCTTTTCTCCTAGAGGCCCGTTTTGAAGCTCTACGGAGATATACAGTCACAGGAAGTTCAGATGAAGAGATAGGTGAGTATTCTTGCTTTTTTTTTTTAGTAGAAAGATGCTGTCTAAACACGATTATATTTATATACAGAAATATGCACATCATAGACATCTAAGAAAGTATCTTTCTACCTGAATACAATGTGTCAAAAATAAATGGACCCACAAAGACAAAACCAAATTCCCAGATAAAGTATTCCTTTGCATATATATGTGAACACAGGCCCTCTTGAACCAACATTCCCCCAGCGCTCCCCAGAATTGCCAGATTGGTGAGGATGGGAGGATGTGGGGGTTGAGTCATCGTCACTCCAACAATGTAAATTCTTTTCTGAAGACAAGTCACAAAGGTTACTAAGAAGGCTTTTGAAAAGGGAAGCTCAGTGGATGAAAAGACTCTGTGCACGTGCCCTCACAGCATCTCCCAGCTCAAATCTTTGTGGGAAATGAACACATGAACAGGCTGCGGGACCTGGCTGTGCTGGGCGGCCCCAGGGCTCCAGGGGAGGCCAGCAGTGCACGCCAGGACTCTGTAAGTGGGTCCCTCAGTGCCCTGGACCAAACACACGCTTTGACTCCCCCTTCAACCCCCACATTCTCCCCTTCCTGCAGGCGTCACCAAAGCCGGGCTGGACTGGACCACCACCACCATGAAAGTCTCCAAGATACGGGGAACAGGCGGGAGAAAAGCCCCAATGAACAAGGGACCACACTTCCGCTTCCTGCCTGGGGTCAGAAAGGGCGGAGCTCTGAGGCTCAGGCTGTCAGTCAAGATGGACCGCTTCAGAGTGAGAAATTCTACGAACAACCGCATGGTTGAAGATTGGCTGAGGTTGACTCATTGCAGGGCTGGAGGCAGAAACAGCTCTCGACAATGTTGAGTCTAGAACCAGAGCTCTAGGCAGGGCTACGGGTGGAGGGCAGGGCCCTCAACCAGGGTGGTTGGACCTGGGAGTATTCATCAGTTTTTCTACCTGCTTTCCCCTCGCCTTCCTAGAGCCCTTAGAAAGGTTCTCCCATGATATGCCAGCCAACCCATGAAATGGTCTATTTCCTCCGTTCAATCAATCCCATCCTTAAAGTCTTTATTTCCCTTCTCTTTTTATGAATGTTGGACACCATGCTAAACTCTACTGATTCCTTTGCATTTTTAATGTAACATTTTCTATAAACTTTTAGTTTTTCTCTTTTTCAAATAACTGTTTTCACTTTTCTGATTTTACCATATGGTCCAAGGCCTCCATACTAGGGAATGAAATAGCACCCAGACCAGAAATTCTTCACTTAGGATGGGTTCTAAAGTTTCTCTGGTAACCATGTTTGCCGTGGACTTCAGTGGGTGGCCAGAGCAGTTAATAAAGATCTAAATCCTGATTTACTAAAACATTTTATCAAGAATTGTTTATGGACATTATCATATGTATTTTATGAATCTATTGAATTGATAACTATTTTGCTAGGTTAATGTTTAATCTGTTGTGGTACAAAATATTAAATGTCTACGTAACCAAAGGAGTCTGTTTTTTAAAAATAATTTCTGGATTTTCTCTCTTGCTCTCTCTTGGAACCCTATATTATATGCAGATTTCATCATTTTCTTCTGGGATTTACTTTTTTTTTTTTTTTTAAGATTTTTATTTCCTCCTTCTCCCCAAAGCCCCCCAGTACATAGTTTTATCTTCTAGTTGTGGGTCCTTCTAGTTGTGGCACGTGGGACGCCGCCTCAGCATGACATGAGGAGTGGTGCTAGGTCTGCGCCCTGGATCCAAACCAGTGAAACCCTGGGTCCCTGAAGTGGAGTGTGTGAACTTAACCACTCGGCCACGGGGCTGGCCCCTGGAATTTACTACTTCTAAAGACATTAAAATCTTCAATCCTCATACAATGTAACTTGGCCTCTTTTATGACGTACTGGATCCAACTTTTTCTTCTCTAAAGGCCAACTGCAGCGGTAGTACTTGACCTACTGATTTGAAATCCCACATTTATTAAACACTGTATTCCTGTATGTACCTATATTAGTCTCCAGACTCTTCTCTGTAGTACTATATTTACTTTTGCCCGTATCGTACCCTTTGATTATAATAGTTTTATATTCTTTTAATATTTAGTGGTAAAAAATTACGGAAGCTACTGTTTGCTGCATCTTACCATGCTAGATGCCTAACAGCCATTACATTTATTATGCTCATAACTTCCCAATGAAGTAGGTACTATCATAATTTTCTCTTGTTTCTTGAAACAGATTTATTGATACAACTCACATAGCATACAGTTCATCCATTTATAGCTATATAACTCAATGTTGTTTAGTAAATGCACACACTTGTGGAAAATTTTAATTTTAGAACCACCACTTCATGACTTCAAAAGCAGCCTTTGTGTGTCAAAACCCTGATTGCCCTTCTCTCTTAAAGTACAGGTGAACAAAAATCTCCTGTCTCAACAGACTTGTATTTTCTAGACATTTCATATAAATGAAGTCCTACAATCTTTTATCACTAGCTTCTTTTCACTTAGAATATGTTAAAAGACTCACTGTGTTGTAGCAAATATGGCTCACATCATCTTGGCTTTTGGAGTTTGTTCACATGAATATGCCACTTTGCCAGCCACCGACTAACAAAGGCTGGGACCAAATCTGCTCCATTTCTCTTGTACAGCACTTACTGAGGATGCTGTCACTACAAGTGCCAGCAGCAGAATGAGGCTAATCCGCAGGAGTGACCTCAAGCACTACCCACAAGCTCTTAAGACTCAGGTTACACTGACAAATTCTGATAGGACCCATAGGTCTTCTTTCAGATGATTAGGATCTCATCCAAGGGCAATCGTGACCTTACACTACACACAAAATGTTCAGATTAACCTGCTGATCTTCAGTGTTGTTGCCAATAATTAAAGAGGCAACACATGGGCCAGATAACTACATATATATATAGTTATATATATATACACACATATATATATACCCAAAAGTGAACCACAACATGACATACTCCTCCACACATATAAACATGTAACACAAACGTGCAACGAATTCTTGTTCTGTATTTATTGTTAAGCTTGACTTAGATTATCATACAGTGTTTTGATTAGGCCTCAAGAGTATGACAGGAAGCAGCTGCACACCTGGTGGCCATACATGACATAACCCAAGGCTGCCTGAGCATCCGAACTATGTGAATTTGTATCACTGAAGCTGAAATGAGGTGGCACTGGCCTGTGTCTACACACAAGGGTCACATTCAGGAACTGGCGGTGAGGGCATCAAGCACAGCAGATTATCCAGACCAGGTATATTCACATGAGTTTTTCTATTTCCACATCCATGGATAGAATGGAAAACACAGAAGCAGGTCATATCACCAGCAACAGCTGTTGTCTGATGCAGACAAATGATATGATTTTCCCAGGCTGTGGCATGGGGTATGCTGTGAAAGAGAACATCATTCTTACCATCATCCTATATGGCTTGAGGTTAACGGTCCTCCCCAGCTGGTATGGCTTAAGTTCATCCACAAAGGTCACGAAATCAGGGTGTCACACAGTGTAGGTATAATCTCACCTTTCTCCCACTCATCCCAGGCTTGACACTGACTTTTTATCTGAAAAGATCAGGTGTAAGAGGGAAAAGGTAATTTTTCAAAATTTACAAAGATGTGTTTTACCAACCGCCGTGGCTGATGTGACTCACTGTACATGAGTTCTCTGAGCACAGTACACAGTCAAGCAGTCACTGTCTTCACAATGCAAGACCATGCCAATCCAACAAGAGGATCGATGTAGTTAGAGCAGGATTATGTAAGCATTCTGTAGGTCCACTTTTAACCAGGCTGCAACATGCAAGGTGGAGGAACCAGACTGGCCTATCAGCAGAAAGAAAAATACATGAGGCACAGGAAGGTTGCGAGCCTAATCACAAAGGCTTAAAATAGATCTGTGGAGCCACCCAGAATGCTATGCATCTCAGAAGAGCCTAAGAATCACACGCAGGGTAGCACTTCCTGAAAAACATTCGGTTTTTCTTGACTGTGAATCACGCCACGTTTATTAAGGACGAGAAACAGTCCAATGGAAAACAATTATGATTCTACAACATTTCTTACGTTCATAAAGCTTTTCTCCAAAGTGAAATGACAAGTGGACATTAGCAGAAAAACAATTTTTGCACAACTATTAATATCAGTTGGATTTCTCTCCACTGTAAGATCTCTCACATATAAGAAATACGTATTTCACTGAGGAAATAGGGAAGGGCTTTCCATGTTTCTTAATACTATGGCTTCACTCTGAGTCCTTACATGCTGGGCTATGAGGAGAACCTGATGGCTTTTTCATTTCTTACACTGGAGAGCAGCTCTCCAGCGCAGTCCTTTCATTTCTTTGGAGTGAATCCGGACTGCTAGGGCTTTGCCACATTCCTTACGTTGATACCATTTCTCTCCAGGGGAGTTCTTTCATGATTCCAAAAGGAAGTGGGAAATGGAAGGATTTCCCATCTTCCTTACATTTCTAAGCTTTCCCTCCAACAAGAGTACACTTGTGAGTGATAAAGCATGAAGAACTGGTATTTTCCCACATATATTACACTCAAAAGGGCTTCTGTCTACAATGGTTCTAAAAGGTTTAAGATTTGAGGAACTATCACAGACATTCCCATAAGTATCACATTTAAAAGGCTTCTCTCCACTGTGAGTTCTAAAATGTCTACTCCGATTTGAGGAAGGCGCAAAGGCTTTCCCACATTTGTCACACTGAAAAGGCTTCTCTCCAGTGTGAGCTCTTCTATGGTCAATAAGGCATGCATATCGAGCAAAGGCTTTTCCACATTCCTTACACTCATAAGGTTTCTCTCCAGTGTGAGTCTGCATGTGAACGTTAAGATGCACAGAAAGTTTAAAGCCTTTCCCACATTCCTTACACTTAAAGGGTTTTATTCCATTGTGAATCTGAACATGAGAGTTCAGGTATGAGAAGCCTTTAAAGGATTTTCCACATTCCTTACATTTGTAATGACTGTTACCAGCACAAGTTTCTACATGCACACCAAAAGCTCGTGATGTGAATAAAAGATCTCCTACATTCCATCCATTCATTGAGTTTTTCTCCATTGTGAGTTGTAATTTGGGTCTGAAGGTAAGAGTGATCAGCAAAGGCTTTCCCACCATCACTGGATTCAAGGTCTTTCTCTTGCATGCTAGTTTTCCAGTACACAATATCTGGAGTTGGGCTCATGGCTCTTCCCAACTGATTCAACCTAGAAAGTTTCTCTCCAGTAGAGGTTTTCCTGTGCAGAGTAAGGACGCTTTTCCCATACTGATTATCCTCATGAGCGTTCTCTCCATTCTGAGTTCTGTGTGTCTTAAGACATGAATGTTCACTGAAGACTTTTCCACATTGCTCACAATCATAGTGTTCCCACTCATTGTGGATTCTTTCCTGTTGAGGGACAGAAGTATGATGATTCAAAGATTTCTCAAACTAATTAATCCTATCCACCTCAAAACAGAAACATCACTACAATGATGATTTCTATCATTTCCATTAAATTCATACACTTCCTACCATGATTTCCTTCAGCTTGAATGATGGAATCTTTCTACCAAAATGATATACCAGCTAGACTAATCTTAAAAGATTCCTGTACAGTTTCATGGAATTGTTTAACTCAATGTTACATATGTGGGAGAGAGTCCTTGAGGAAATTCTGAAGCAACAACTTTCAAGCTAGGTTTAAAATATTCTCAAAGCCATCATATTCAGGATAACTCTCTCGAGACACTGCTCTCTCTTGGGTGAATGCCACTCATCTCAAATATCCATCACTTGTGCTCATGTTTGACCTAATGAAAATCCCAATCTTTCCTAAATGTGGAAAAGAAGTTTCTCCTTTCAAACTTACTCTTTTTATCCTTTTGGATCTTTTTTCCCCAAAAACATCCTGCTGAACTGCCAAGTCTTTGGTTTTAAGTTGAATTTCCCATTCTAAAATAAAAAAGAATAACAAACTGCAGGAATTTACAGAAAGAAATGTACATTAACAGAGTTAAAAACAGTAAGGCTCATTTGAGTTATTTCTCAAGTAAAGATACTAAACAAAAGGCAAGACAGATTTAAGTAATTTAGCTATGTCAAAAAGTTTACAAAGGGGCTGGCCTGGTGGCACAGCTGTTAAGTTCACAGATTCCCCTTTAGCAGCCCGGGGTTCACCAGGTCGGATCCCAGGTGCAGACACGGCACTGCTTGGCAAGCCATGCTGTGGTAGGTGTCACAATCAGTGACTGAGGTAAAGATTAAAAGAAATAATTGCCACATATAACCTTGACTGAATCCTACAGACAAAAAAAAAAAAATTGAAACAACGTGGAGAATTTCAATTTTTACATAGAGTAAATATTTGATGATATTATTATTCTTAATCTTCTTGGGTTGAAAAATACTACTGTAGTTTTAGTAGATAATGTCTTTCAGAGAGATGGATTACCAAGTATTTAAAGGTCAAGTATCACGTCTGCAAATTTATTTTCAACTTACTTTCAAATGCTGACCATGAAATTTATTTATCCATGGAGAGAGCAAACATACAAAATGCTAAAAACGAGTGAATCTACTACAACGAACACTCACTGTACTGGATGTTCAAATTTCCTGTAGGTTTAAGATTTTACAAAAGAAAAATGTGGGGGAAAACCACACTTAGTCCAAATATTCTGTTAACGGCAAACTGAATTATTCTAGAACTGGTGTCATAAAGTCTCCATCTTTTTCTCCTGGAGGCCCCCGTTTAAAAGCTCTGTGGGGATGGAGGGGCCTAGAAGTTCAGATGAAGAGACACCTGAGTATCTTTCTTTTCTTTAGATGAAAGACTTGTGGTCAACATCTGCTTATAATCATATGACACAAATATGCTCACCCCTGACACCTAGGAAACTATCTTACCTTTCTATCCTCATGTAATGTTAAAAACTAAAGAACGCACCAAGACAAGGCCAAATTCTCCGGCGACACGTTCTGTCACCCAGGAAAAGCAGCAGAGGCCCCTGACCCACTTTCCCCTGGACTCACAGCCACACGGCGGGGTCGCAGGTCCTAAGAACCGGAGGGCGCGGGGCCCGAGAAACGGGACTCGCACAGCGGAGCTGCTTCTCCTTCTGGGGAAAAGTCTCGAAGGTGACGCGGAGGCTCTGACCAGGGAAGCGCAGGGGACGCCAACGCCCCGGGCGGCGCCCTTCCCGTCCCGGCTCAGCGCGGGGCCCAGTGGCCGGGCGGACGAGCGGAGGCCCGGCCTCTCTACGGAGCCCCTCGGGTCCCGGGCCGCACCTGTCCTTTAACGCCCTCCGTGCGCCCAAGGCACTCCCTCCACGGGCCGCACCGAGGACGGGGCCACCGCACGAGGACCGACGTGACCGCTCCACGAGGCTTGAGTCCCGGGACAAAAATACCGCGCGAAGTGGTGTCGCCACGTCCGCTTCCTGCCTCGGGCCGTAAGGGGCGGGTCTCCAGGGCCCGGGCTGCCAATCACGTCCGTCCACTTCCGGCAGAGAACTCGTAGTTCTCCCAGCCTGGGCGCCGACGGGCCCTGGGGTCGCTCGGCGCCGGGCTGGGGCGGAAACAAGCCCCGCGGCCCAGGTGGAGGACAGAGGCCGGCCTGTGGGCGGGGCTACGGCCTGGGGCGGGGCCTATACCCGGGGGCGGGGTTGGAGGTGGGACGTTGCCCAGCGCGCGGTTTAGATACTGGCAGGGACAGTTGGGGGTGGGGATTCATGCCGCCCAGTGTTCGTGAAAAGCTTTTCTCCCCGCCTCTCCAGGTTCCTAGAGTCCTTCCAGTGATTCTCCAGTAATGATATGCCCGCCAATGCATGAGACGGTCTATCTCCTCCATTCTATCCATCCCGTGTTTAACCTTGATTTCCCCTTATTTCTTTTTGTTTACTTTGGACACCACGCTAAACTCTAAATCATTGATGCCTTTGCATTTTCAGTGTAATGACATTTTTCTGTAGCTTTCATGTTTTTTTCTTCTTCGAATATGTATTTCTTTTTTAAAAAATTTTTCCTATCTTACTATACAGTCCCATTTCATACTACAGTGTTAAAGAGCATGATACCAGGCATTCCTAATCTAGGAATGGTCCTACAGTTTCTCCGGTAATCAGCTTTGCTGTGGGTTTCAGTGAGTGCCCTTTAAGGAGTTAGTAAAGGTCTTTTTAAATCCTGATTTACCAGTACATTTTACCAAGGAATGCTTATGTACATTATTAAATGTTTCATCCATCTATTGATAACTATTTTGCTACGTCAATGTTTCATCTATTGATATACAAAATATTTGATTTTTATGTAGCCAAGAAAGTCTATTTAATAAGATAATTTCTGGGTTTCCTGATTTGCCTTAAAAATGCTCTTCAAACTCTAGATTACAGTCAAATCTCCCAATTTCCTTTAAATTTTTTATTTTTAATGACACTTTAATCTTGAATCCTCAAAGAGTCTATTTTGGCATGTGGTGTGGTCAGTGGATGCAATTACTTTTTTCCTCCAAAAAGATGGTCAATTGTTACAGTATCATTTATTGATAAACTACACGACCTACTGATTTGAAATTCCACCTTTATTAAACAACAAATTCTTATAAGTACTGTATCAGTTTCTAGACTTTTCTGTGCCAGTAATATTTACTGATACCCATAGCATACTCTTTTGGTTGCAATAGTTTTATGTTATGTTTTAAGATTTAGTGGTAAAAATATAGTGGTACCTAATGTTTGTTGCATCTTAACGCTCCAGGTGCTTCAGAATCTCTAAGTTTTTTATCCTCCTAATGATATAGCTACTCTTATGATTTTCTCTTTTCTTTGTGTTTTGGAACAGCTATGTTGAAAAGTAATTCACATGCCACACAATTTACCCATTTAAAACTATACCATTGAGTGTTTTTTATTATATTCAAACAGTTATGCAACCATCACAATTTTACAACATTTTCATTACTCCAAAAGTACTCTTTGACTGTCATAACCCCATTTTCCTACTCCATTAACATCTAAGCTACCATGAATTTCCTTTCTCTCTCTATAGATTTGTGTTTTCAATGCATTTCACGTAAATGAAATCATACAATCTTTTGTCAGTGGTTTATTTTCACTTAGTATGTTTTTCAAGGTTCATATGTATTGCAGCATATATCATTACTTTTTATTCCTCAAGGATATTCCACTGTATGAGTGTAATGCATTTTATTTGTCTATTATATGTTGATGGACATTTGGGTTGTTTCCACTTTGTGGATTCTATGAGTAATGCTGCAATGAAAATTCCTGTGTATCTTTTTGTGCAGACATATTTTCATTTCCCTTGGGTGTTGTGTTAGCCAAGGTTCTCTAGAGAAATAGAACTTATGGCCCTGGACCATATTGTAAGATCAGAAAGATCATTTATACATATAAAAATAATATAATGAAATTTATATAAATATATATCCAATGAAATTTATAAGGAACTGACTCTTGTGACTATAGAGGCTGAAGGTCTCGCAATCTCTTGTCCCCAAGCTGGAGACCCAGAAAGCCTGTGGTGCAGTTCAAAGGCCTGGAAACCAGACAGACAATGGCATAGGTTCCAGTCCATGTCTCACAGCCTGAGAACCAGGAGCACCAAGGGCAGGGGAACGTTATCCCAGCTCAACAGTGAGGCAGAGAAAGAGAATTCAACTCTCCTCCACCTTCTCATTCTATTCAGGCCCAGAATCAGATTGGATAATGCCCACTCACATTGGGGAGGGCAATCTGCTGTACTGAGTCTGACACAAATGTTACTCTCCTTCCAAAACACCCTCACAGTCACACCCAAAAAGAATGTGTTCCCAAATATTGAGACATTCTGTGATGCAGTCAAGTGACACATAAAATGAATGATCGCGGTGTCTATCAAGAAGTAGAATTGCTGGGACATATAGCAACTATATGTTTACCGTTTAGAAGAACTACCAGACTGTTTTCCAAAGTGGCTGCGTCATTTACAATCCCACCACCTATGTATGAGGGTTCTAGTTTCTCCACATCCTTGCTAACACTTATTATTGTCTGTCTTTTACATTTTAACCATTCATTGATGTGAACCAATATCTCATTGTGAACATGATTTCCATTTCGCTAATGATTAGTGATGTTAAGCATCTTTTCATGGGCTTGTGACCATTTCTATGTCTTCTATGAAGAACTGTCTGTTCAAATCATTTGTTCATTTTAAAATTGGATTATTTACCTTTTTGTTGTTGAGTTGTAAGAGTTATTTATGTATTTTGTGTATGGTCCTTATCACATACATGAATTGCAAAGATTTTCTTGCATTCCATGGTTGTCTCCACTTTCTTGAGTGTGTCCTTTGTATTAAAACATGTTTAATAAGTATCCTTTGGAATACAAAACTTCCTAATTTAGATGAAGTCTAATTTATCTATTTTTTCTTTGGTTGCAAGGTGCTTTAGGTATCAATTCTAATAAGCCATTGCCAAATGCAATATCATGAAGATTTTCACTTATTTTTTATTTAGCAATTTTATAGTTTTTGGACTTACATTTAGGTCTTTGATGCATTTTGAATTAATTTTTGTATATGGTGTAAGGTAAGGACCCAACTGTGTTCTTTTGCAGATGGATATCCAATTTTCCCACTACCATTTGATAAAAAGATTATTTTCTTTCCCCATTGTATTCTCCCAGCACCCTTCTCATAAATCAATTAAGTATATATGTGAGGGCTTATTTTTGGACTCTCAATTTTATTCTATTAATCTATGTCTAGTCCTTAAGCCTGTAACACACTGTTTTGATTACTGTAAATTTGTAGTAATTTTAAATCATCTGATAAGTTTGATTCAAAGAAAGAAAAAATAGGACAAATGGGAAGCATAAAATAAGATGACTAAATGAAATCCAAACTTATTACAGTTACATTACTTATAAGTGCACTAAATGCTTCCATAAATGGCAAGGATTGTTAGTGTGGATTTTATAAATATCAAGATTAATGCCATGTAAGAATTTGAATTGAATCCTAACCCACAAGCATGAGAAAAATGTGAAATTTGAATGAGCTCTGTTAGTTAATAAATTTATCATATAATAATATTTTATCAATGATAAGTTCTGGGCTTCAATAATGATGGTTAACAAGATGTTAACCCTAGGGGTAGCCCAGAGAAGGATACATAGGAACACACTGTCCTATATTTACAAGCTCTCTGGATGCATAATTGTAATTCAACATCACAAAGTTTATTACAAATCCAGATTTTAAAAGTTTCACTTCTATTGTAATTTTTAAAGAGACATCTAAAAACTGATACAGTAATATTGAGAAATAAAAGGAAAACAATATGCTATAGCTACATAAAAATCCATCAAAATAGATTTTAGTGGAATGCACATTCTTTTTTTTTTTAAGATTTTATTTTTCCTTTTTCTCCTCAAAGCCCCCTGGTGCATAGTTGTATATTTTTAGTTGTGGGGCCTTCCAGTTGTGGCATGTGGGACGCCACCTCAGCATGGCTTGATGAGCGGTGCTATGTCCGCGCCCAGGATCCAAACCGGTGAAACCCTGTGCCACTGAAGCGGAGTACACGAACTTAACCACTTGGCCATGGGGCTGGCCCCAAGAGTGCACATTCTTATGCATTAAAAGTTACAGATAATTTTGGAAAGGTTCAATTTACCAAAAAACTATAACAATTCTAAAATGGTATGCACCTAATAACATGACCTTCCAAATACAGCAAACAAAAATAGAATAAATGAAAGGAGAATTAGAGAGCCAAGATTAAAGTGGAATATTTTAATACAGCACTCTCTGGACTAGATAGTGCAGAGGAACAAACATTCAACAGCCATCAAAGACTGGAGCAAAACAAGGAACAAGCTGGACCCATAGACTCATATAGCACTACTGATTCTAAGGATAAAATACACATTCATTTCAAGCTCACATGGGACACTTATGAAAACTGAGCACAAACAGGCCCAGAAAGCATTTCTCAAGCATTTCCAAAGATTAATACAATTGTCTAAGTACAATGCAATTCAGTTAGGAATCAATAACAACAACATAATAAATACATGATATGTTGGAAATATAGAAACACATTTTGAAAGAAACTACCTGTCAAAGCACAAACTGTAATAGAAAATAGATATTTATAACTGAAAAGTCCAAAAAAAAAAAAACTTCGTAACCAAACTGTGTTGGAGATTCAGCTACAGCAATATAAAGATAGTCAAAGCCTAAAATGATTACATAGTAGGAAAGAAAAAAGTCTGAAAAATAATGGGCTGTGCATTTCATTTTAGAGGTAGAAAAAGAACAACAAAATATAGTCATGCATTTCTTAATGATAGGGATACATTCTGAGAAATGCATCATTTTGTCATTTTGTCCTTGTGCGAACATCACAGAGTGTACTCACACAACACTAGATGGTACAGCCTACTACACACCTAGGCTATATGATATTAATCCTATGGGACCACCTCTACATATGTGTGACCACATATGTCATATATGTGGTTCATCATTAACTAAAATGTTGTTATGCAGTGCATGACTATAAACACAACAAAACTAGAATGAAAG